GAGAACTCCGGTGCAAAATGAACCTCGGGTGTAATAACACATTGGTACAGACTAAATCGTTCCCTGAGATTTGTTTTCATGATAATCGAATGTAAAGAGTTTTATCTCTAAAAACAGTTTAGCTTATAACGCTAGTAAATTGGGCATAGAGTAAGCAAAAAGAGATCGCTAGTTAATACCACTAACAAGGCTCAAATTAGCCCCACACTAACACGGTAGCATAATGAGTGTCCTTACATGCAAACCGAAGCATTGAGAACTTTGTAAGTGTATAGACAGTTTAATAAGAAGATACTTTACACAGACAGTACAGTTAGCGCATACAGAGAGGAGCCATCTTGGAAAACAGTCTCGACCAATGTCAATGTCAGCATCAGCACATTTAATGTATATATTATGGGTAGAGATGGTCTTTTGAATATGTTCTCTCATTTTGAACATCTGTTTGTTTTTATATGATCTTCGTTGACTAATATTATGTGTAGCCTATTTGCCATTATTTTTACTATTGATAGTGGTTTTGTAATGTAATGTTTTAAAAATTGTGTGCACCTGCCCGGGGACTGCGGATAAAAAATTAGCTTCGGCTAACTCTGGCACAAAACATCTTTTCGAAAGATTAATGTACTTTGTGCATTGTCCCTGATAAAATTTTTAAAAAAGAGACATGAGTCGTATTTTGTTTTTCAATATTGACTAAAAATTTCCATTACACGAGAGTAGATGTTAAAACTTCATGCTGATTTGTACTCGGCTTTCGCCAAGATAAGCAAAACTAAGACGTAGCTTTACAGTAAACTATGCTTCTCCATCCATTTACGCTTCTTTCCATAAGGTGGTGTGACTCCCCTTCTGTCCGGCGTTAACGGCAGCAGTGTACTTGGCGCGTTAGCGCACGCGACGGCTGCAACTACAGGACCAGCATGACAACCGTCTGGACTGAACCGAGTAGGGGACATCTCTAGGGTCTTCAAGTGGGCACCTTCCGTCCTCAGTGTTTCGTCGACTAGCCCACGACACCTCAAGAGGGCTCAACAGTGACTCTGGCGTCCCAGAGTCACCCCCCTCCGTCCCCCACTCAACTCAGCCCAGCTTACTGACCTCTACATCCCTCCTGCTGCTGAGACCTAACCACAATCTCACAATCCGACCATACGCGCCAACCCGTTTGACTAAGGCTGTCGAGCCCCACTGGTGCGTTAATATGCAGTTTCAGTGGACAACGGTTCCGTATGGCATACCACCTACCGCAAAACACAATATCTGCCCAACCACCCGCCATTCACGCAATATCCACAGGAACGTATACAAACAAACCAACAGACTCTTCAAGTTTTCAAGAATTCTACGAAACCGTAGCGTGGCGGCCTGTACACAGCCAGCTAGAATCTTTCCGTCTCAACCACAGCCAGTTGCTGCTCCTTTCTGCTGCTTCAGATAAGTTATTTACTGTGCGACGCAACTCTTGGCCACTGAATCCGATGTCTCTGAGGAACCGGGTTGTAGAGTGTGCCACAAAACCTCGACAACCCACTTCCACTGGATAAACCTGGGCTCTCCATCCTCGCTGTTCTGCTTCAGTGGCCAGATGAGCATACCGCAGTTTCTTCCTCTCATATGCCTCATCTACCGCATCCTCCCATGGCACTGTTCACTCTATCAGTTGAACAATGCGTGCTGATCCAGACCACAAAACAATATCTGGTCGTAGGTTAGTGGTGGCAATCTCAGGTGGAAAAATAAGCCGTTGGTCAAGATCAGCCAGCATCTTCCAGTCCCTAGCAGCTTCCAGTTGTCCTGGGCGAGAATTGGTGTTAACACCTTTTCTTGGTGGTTGCTCGCCTGGGCGGAGGAATATTGTCTTCTGCATGTAATGTTTTTGCTAGAACAGGTGGCAACTTATTGGTCATGTTACGCTTGCCTTCTAATGCTAAAGCCAAACATCGCAGTACTTGGTCATGGCGCCAAGTAAACCGACCTTGGCTAAGAGCCAACTTACATCCTGTCAAAATGTGCCTTAATGTGGCAGGTGATGAACACAAAGGACAAGAGGGATCCTCTCCTACCCAGAGGTTTAGGTTCTGCGGTGATGGGAGAACATCATATGTTGACCTAATAAGGAAACTGATCCTACTCTCTTCCATTGACCAAAGGTCTTGCCAGCCCATCTTACGTTGTTCCACACTCTCCCATCTCATCCACTCTCCCTGCTTGGCCTGGGAAATGGCCTTTATACACCTCATCCTCTCCTCCTGCTGTCGCACCTCGTTGACTACCAGCTTCCTCCTTTGAGCTGGGCCTGCCTTGTGCCATTTAGGAGGAGCTAAACTGAGCCCAAAACCCCCTCTTCCATGCTGTACCTGTCCCACGATATCCCTAATTTGAAGGGCAGCCTTTGCCTCTACTACAGATTTCTTTGCTGACCACTTTCTACCAGTTTTTAACACAGGGGCTGCCTCCCTTACACATTTGTCGCGTGACTCTACTAAGGTCATTTCCAGTCTGACCTTGGCACACTTGAACTCCTCGGTTAAAGCAGAGACTGGCAGCTGCAATATTCCTTTACTATAAAGTCCCACTCTGCTGAGGCAGCGTGGAACTCCCAACCATTTCCTGATGTATGAACTTATCAACGCTTCCAGCTTATCCACTGTTGTCAAAGAAACGTCGTACACGGTCAGTGGCCACAGCAACCTCGGCAGTAGACCAAACTGAAAGCACCAGAGTTTTAGTTTACCAGGTAGAGCACAGCTGGTTATGCTCTTCAACCCTACTACGATATACTTTGGTTTATTGTGTTATATTTAATGTTAGCTTACTAATGATATTAGTAGGGCCCTACTAATATATATTATATATAATAAATTTCCAGATACTTACATAATTGTGATGAATTTAATCCTTTTTAAGTTATTATTTTGCAGTGTAAGATTACAGTTAACACCTTTAAATATTACATAAATGTACTATGAATTTTTAATAAACTTAATGAGTGTATAAATCAGCAGCAAAAAGTAATTCTTGAAAAAATCTGCACAGTAATTTTATAAAATCTAAATATGTTAATAAAAACAAATTACTATTAGTTCTCTTATAAAATTCAATCAGGCAATCATACATTTCACAATTTTATAATTATATATTAATGTCAAGAATTCAGAAGTGCATAGGCTATATAACCTACACTACAAAAAAATAATATACAATTAAATTATGCTTATTTTAAATGTATTGAGCAGGCTAGGTATAACAAAATATATTGGCTTTTAATAATATTTCAGTGCTCAAACCCATGATAACATGAAAAACAGAGCGCACACAGCGTGTATGCGCATCTCGGGTGCAGAATGATGTGCTCAAAGCAACATGGTGACTCTACCGTGGTGTGAATAAGTTATTACCCCCATGCTAAAGTTGCCTAAAAAGAGGAATAAAAAATCATCTTTTTGGAAATTGATCTTAATGCCTTAATTAGAAAAATGAGGAAAAATCCAACCTTTAAGGACACCAATTTTCTTTGTGTATGAATAATGTATCATAAATAAATAAACGTTCTTCCTTAAAATACAGGGTGCATAAGTCAGGCCCCCCCTATGTTAAATTCCCATAGAGTCAGGCAGATTTTTATTTTTAAAGGCCAGTTATTTCATGGATCCAGGATAATATGCATCCTGATAAAGTTCCCTTGGCCTTTGGAATTAAAATAGACCCACATCATCACATTCCCTTCACCATACCTCGAGATTGGCATGGTGTTATTTCAGTTAGCCTAATAGCTGGTTTGATTTGCATTGAAAGATGATCTTATGGAAAGTACCCCATGCCAATCTCTAGGTATGGTGAAGGGAATGTGATTATGTGGGTCTATTTTAATTCCAAAGGCCAAGGGAACTTTATCAGGATGCATAGTATCCTGGATCCATGAAATAACTGGCCTTTAAAAATAAAAATCTGCCTGACTCTATGGGAATTTAACATAAGGGGGGCCTGACTTATGCACCCTGTATTTTAAGGAAGAACATTTATTTATTTATGATACATTATTCATACACAAAGAAAATTGGTGTCCTTAAAGGTTGGATTTTTCCTCATTTTTCTAATTAAGGCATTAAGATCAATTTCCAAAAGATGATTTTTTATTCCTCTTTTTAGGCAACTTTAGCATGGGGGTAATAACTTATTCACACCACTGTATGTGTGCAGCGCTGCATAAATGCGCATTTATAAGTTCACGTCACAAAGCGAAGAAATGTCGAGCGCACAAATCCTAGTGCGATTTGTTCCTTTGTTTCAGCTTTATATTCCAGTTATTGTGGGTTTGATGTCGATTCATAGTCCCTGTGATGTGTGTGATGATCTAGCAAGCACACGGTAGTGAGTCTTTTAAAAACAACAACAAACTCCAACAAAATAAAGTAATTTTATGCAAATCTACAGCCTTTTATCTACAGATCATGCATTATAATGTGAATATATCATATTGGAGAGAGTTTTACCGTGCATCCAAGAGGCGCGCGCGCTGTTTGAGTATGAATGGAAAAGTGATTGACAGCCGCAGAGAAGGGAAAAGGAGTTTCCATATACTTTAATGATGTAAATAGACTTCTGTCCCTCACATTAAGCTATGGAATGACTTCAGATGACTTTGTCACCCAAACTGACGTAAAAAAAAAAAAGCGGGAGGCGCGCTGTTTGTATCCCTGCTTGTCAAAACGTGGCAAAGACACATCAAAAAGCTGCTGTCACAGAATACTGTAACCATTTGGCACTTAAAAAGCACGTCACGACACATCATGCCCCGTCTTCTTTTACTAAAGAATATTTTTGACTTATTTATGAAATGCATAACTGATGCTACTAAATTTTATTCTGGCCATTGGGGTGGCCAGTGGGTTGGTCAGGAGTCGGCCAGGGGTGGCCGTGGCCACCCCCTGGTGGCGCCATTGGTCATGTACCAAGTGCTTTATCATTATTATCAGCTATTACTGATTCATGTGTTCAACCTCATGAGCGTCTGACTCTGAACCCATGTTGTGTCCGTCTGCCCTACGTCTGCTTGAGTTCCTTCTTATCCGCCAAGCTACAATGAAACCTATAACTATAACTACAGATGCAATGCCAACCCAGAGCAAAGGCGATGATGTTTCCACACTATCAGGTTCTGTTTCTCCTTGTTGTTCTTGTTCAGTTGATATGCTTCCTTTTTCTGCTGTTGATTCTGCAATAAAAAAGTGTAACCGGAAACTTTACCTCACAGTGACGAATGCAACATATCCGTCTATAATTTATATACAGAAGCATTCAGACTGAAACATCACTAGTGCATTAAATACATTAAATTAAATATGAACATTAAATATATGCAGTATTTAGATTTTAAAGTAAATTACTTTGTTTAAATTAAACTTAATGCACTAGTTTCACACACCGTTGATGATCAGCTGTACAGTAGGTTGTTCAGATGAGTGTGAGATGTAGCAGATGTATTTTCCAGCATCAGAGTGAGTGAGATCTGTGAGTTTGATGGAGAAGTTTCCTCTCTCATACTCCTCTGGAAAAGTTTCAATTCTGTTTTTATACTCTGGATCATGTTTCTCTAGTGAATGACTGCTGGGAATTATATCATACACAATCTTGCTACCATTGTGTCTCCAAAACACATTAATGTCTTGAAATTTAAGATCATGTTCAGTGGAAGAACACGGCAGGACAACAGAACCACCAATAACACCTTTTACTGTGACCTGCAGAAACACTGAAACAAGTGAAACTGTTATTGACCATATACACGGTTACTTCGTGGTTTTCAATAAGCCTTAGCCATTTCCAGTGAACTGTTAGTTGTCATTCTGTTCTTCAACACAAAACCATCAACGGTTGACTTTTCAATGCTGTATTTATATTTTTAATGCAGTTATCACACATTTGCAAACACCAGTTTTGTTGATAGCAAAAAGACTTGAAGCTAATGGGAATGTTGAAATAAGAAACACTGTGTCCGTAATTGGACACACACGCAACATTTTTCCAGTACTTCAAATGTTATTTTCAATGTGAAAACCAAACACATTATTTGTTCATCCTTCTCAGATTGTCCCCATTTATAAAACCACATGTTTTAAGATGTAGGAAATCCAACATTTGATAGAAAACACTTTTATTTAATAATAAAAAAGACATTAATTACCACTATATGCATGTGACGGCATACATGGAAGCTACAAAAGGGCCGCCGGCACACAACAGAGTTAGCTTCTGTGATGAACCAAGTCGCTCCCAGGCAGGGGAAGGCCCCTTCTTGGGCGACCCGAAGCACAACAGCAACTGGTCTGACTTCCGCCATGAAGAAGACCTCTGGACATTTATCTTGAGAGCTCTGACAGAGAAGAGCAAATTAAGTATTTCTTCGTCCGCCGTCACGTGAGGTGGAGGATGAAAGTCCTGCAGAACCGTAGGCCGTGCTACCTCCTTTCGGCCTGGGATGCAAGATAGCCTAAATGTTACCAGGAGCAAACTTCAGGCACCCATGAGATATAGAGAGTGTATGAAGGTATCCTACTCACCTTAGAGAAGTAATGGCTAATAAAAAAGCTACCTTGAGGGAAAGGTTCTTGGCCTCAGCCGACTCCAGAGGTTAGAGGGGGCCTCGAGAGCCCTTCGAGAACCACTGCTAGGTCCCATGTGGTAACTATGGAACGAGCCGCAGGTCTCATCCTCCCAGCCCCAAGGACCAGCTGATGTCTCCCCAGAGGCCCATCACCCAGAGGAGCATGGAAAACCCCAATGGAAGCCACGTACACCTTGAGTGTTGGACGGGATGTCTGCAGGATGTCTGCTCTCTGATTTTGGTCCCCTGGGACGTGCATTACTCTGAGAGATAACAGTTTCCCCTGGGATCACAGGAGGATCTGATGCGCCAATCTGGATAGAGGGCACAATTTCAGAACCCCTTGATGAATCAAATAGGAGACCACCGACACATTGTCTGCGTGGTGACCCTGAGGTCTGGGAGGAAGATCATCAGAGCCCTGCCATCCATGACCGCGCCCTAGCCCGTGAGGAAGGCGTCTGTCGTAGCAGCTTTCCGGCAATATGACACTCCCAGCACGGGCCTTGGAATAGAAACCAAGCTTTTTTCCACATAGATAGGGAATGAAGGCATCTGCGCGTAACCCTGATAATGCGGAAAACCCCTAGGTTTTCAACCACCACTGCAGGAACCTCATGTGCAGGAGGCCGAATGAAACGACGTTGGACGCTGATGCCAGGAGCCCTAACACTCTCTGAAAATGTTTTACAGTGATGGCTTGGCCTAGCTTTATCCTGGTCACCGTGACCAGGATGGACTCGATCTGTGCAGGAGACAATTTTGCCTGCATCGTGAGCGAGTCCCACACCACTCCCAGGAATGTGGTTCTTTTTGTGTTGAGTCTCAATCCCAGGCTCTGGATTACCCCTTTTCCACCAAAGCATTTTGAGAGCCAGTTCGGAGCCGGTGTCTACTCGCGAACCAGTTCTTTGTGTTTCGACAGCCAAAGAACCGGTTCTTGGCCAGGAAAATTGGTTCCAAAGCGGCACCAACTCTTTGCTGGACTAGAACCGTTCTTTTACCACTTCATGCTTACGTCGGGCTAGGACATATGGCGACGTACACAGTGACGTAACAACGTCGTTCGCTTGGCTCTCTAGTCAACAAAACAAAACAAACAGGTTCTTAGAAGGTTCGCAAGTTGAACCAACTTTGAACCAGCACCAGTTCCGAATCAGTTCTTTTTTGGTGGAAACGAGGTAGAAGTGGGCAAGGACGACATCATTTGGTAAACATGGGGAGAGAGCTAGGCCGAACGGAAGAACCCAATATTAGAATGCTTCTCCCCTGAAAGCGAACCTCAGGAACTTCCTGTGAGATTGAAGGATGGATATTTGGAAGTATGCATCCTTTAGATCTATCGCAGTGGTCCTCAATTCTGGTCCTGGGGACCCACAGCTCTGCACATTTTATATGTCTCCTTTATCTGACACACCCAGTTCAGTTCATATAACTCTTTCTTAATCAGCTGATGATTTGAATCAGGTGTGTTAAATGAGGGAGACATACAAACTGTGCAGAGCTGTGGGTCCCCAGGACCGGAATTGAGAACCACTGATCTATCGTGACAAACCAATCCTCAGATTTGATCTGACTCATGATGATGGGAATAGTGAGCATCTTGGACCTGAATCTCCTCAGAGACCGATTCAAGTGCCTTAGATCTAAAATTGCCGTAACCCCCCATCCTTCTTGAGAACTATGAAGTAGCGGCTGTAGAACCCAAACTCCCTGTCCAGCGGAGGAACACACTCTATGGCCTCCTTTACCAGCAGGGAGTTTACTTCCTGTTCCAATATCCGACTGCACTGGGTCGACTGCAGTCCACACTAACCCGTGTAATTTTGGTGGGTGGAATTGAACTGCAGCCTGTAACCCTTCTCTATTGTGCGCAGGACCCAATGAGAAATATTTGGCAGGTCTTGCCATGCTTTGAAATATTCTACTAAGGGAACCATCCTCTCGAGACTGATTTTGGGTATTATTCGAGATTCGTTCTCGGTCCCCTTAAGCGGCTCTCCGGGCAGTGTTTGGTCGAAACGATTCTCGATGTGCGGACGCGAGAGCTGCCTGACAGAGCACATGAATACAATAGCACCCGTTACAATATATTTGGCCTTCATCTCTCGGGGAGAGTCAACAGGTGCTAGGCTGAAACATCCGACAGCGCACGGATGTATGCGTAGATATATTTCTCAATGAACACTGCCAGCACCTTCAGGAGTTGACTGTGAATGCCTCGCACCCAAATAGTATTATTTCACAGATAACGTGTGTCCCTATTATTGCAGACCTTTAATTTACACGCTGCCTCTGCAAATGCGAGATTCGAGTCGTTCACAAAATATTTGGCTTTCTTCTCTCGAGAAGAAAGTCAACAGGCGCGAGGCTGAAACACCCGAAAATGCACGGCTGTGCGCCTCAAGATATTTCTCAATGAACACAGCCTGCACCCTCAGGAGCTGACTGTGCATGCCTCGCACCCACACAGAATCTTGATTGCAGAGTAGACCCGTAATCTACGCACTGCCTCGGCAAACGCGAGATCCGAGCCACTAGATTCTGTATTGCAATGCAGACCTTTATTTTAAGTTCTTACGGGACAAACAACACCAAATAGGACAGACAGTTTGACACAGAGCGTCCCTTTGTAGCTTCCGTGTATGCCGTCACACGTTACGTCATGACGCAGCACCAATCAGGATTGGATTTGTTTCATTCATACTTCAGATGCGCTAGCTAAGGACATTCCACAAAGTGTCGTATCAACGCGTTTCGAGTTCTCTCAAAAGGGAACTCCCATTTTGTTCAATGAATCTAAATAAAGTGCACAATAAATCTTTCATTTACAGTGTGTAGATTATTATTTTCACAGGAAAGTGTGAAAACTGATGGTTGAATTGAATTCTGCTGAGGAGGAACACATCTTTTTATGTTGTCTTCCATTTGAATAACTAAATTAATGATATGGCCTGACTAATTAAGTGACTATAATCCGATTATAAAGTAAGTATTACACTACTGATGCTATTAAAGCTACATCAGGACATTGAAGATACTGACACACCAGCAAAAGACAGTTCACCAGAAGTTTTCCAGCTGGATTATAATATTGCAGAAGCTCTTATAACATTACGTGCATATGGTCAGTTGTAACTGTAACTTTTAACAGTCCTTGCCATTAATTAATCTTTCAAATTATGTTTGTTTAGGTGCTTACCTTTGTTTATTAGCACCGCAAACACACAGATGAAGCAGCAACTGCAGAACAAAAAGTTTATTTAACTTTCTTTGGTTCAACTTGAATAGCACAGTACAAACACTGTTTGATTCCCACATAACACACATAAAAAATGCTAAGATGTTAAGATAGGATTATAGGGTTCCCCTTCCATACTTAATTGTATTACTGATCACATATTGTGAATAAATTCATCTCTAAATATGTTACAAACTGGCAGTAAGTATTTTTAAGGGGGGATTTTTACCCTTCTGACCCTATTGGTAAAACCTTGAATTCACCACAAATTAAACTACTATCAACTAAAACTCCCTGCACACCCGTTCAAACAGCTAACAGCTAACCACTCAATCCAGATAATAGTTACAGCAGATAAACCATGCATATAAGCTTTATATTCATTAATTAACCAATTCAATGTTTTAACAACACTTAAACTATTTCCTTTTTAATTTGAGTTAAAATAAAACGTTTGACAACCAAAACACAGCAGGCCAAAGACGAGCAACAAGGTAACGTTACATCAGGCCTCATTGTTGATGTGTACGACACGTGTGTCCAAACAGCGTTTCATTTTGCATTCAGCAAACATACCTGATTATCATGGTGGACCAATATGTATTTAATTTGACTATATTGCATACAAATACTTTTGAAATTAGGGTGAAATACTACTTTTTTACCAGAAAGTATCGGAACTCTTCATCTTCCGTTTTCTCCATGTGCTCTATGACATCAGACGTAAGTGGCGTCGACAGTAATCACGTGAACTGATCAGACATGCGCAGATATTCATTGAGTTTGAGTTTCATAAAAGTAGCAATACAACCTTATTATAACTTCTTTGTCAACAGGATAACACAATAAAATTGCATTAAGTTATTTCCATTGTGGTCCTTGATTTTTTGTTTGTTTTTTTATAGACATTTCCATGACAAACCATTCACAAAAAAATAACTATCAAAAAAATAATAATAATACACATATCAATATCTAAACCCATCCTATCTTAAAACAATCTCTTCACTCTTATACTAAAACCAACATTATCCATTAAAACCTTAATGTCCAATGGCAACTTATTCCACTCCTGCGCACCTGAATATTCAAATGTCCCATTACTATACAAAGTCGTACACTTGCATAGATTCAGATCCATAATGCTTTGTCTAGTATAGTGTCCATGTCTTACATTAACCTGAGAGAAATAGGAGTTAAAATACACTGGGGCCCTATTATTCATTTTTTATTTATTTTTGTACCATTTTTAGTTTCAGGAAACCTAACCATCTTTCAATAAGTAACCATCCAATCTGCTGAAAGTGTCCAATATCCACATGAGTAAAATAATGATTTCCTAAAACTACTTTTGGGTACTTTAAGTACCAAAGAGAATAGATTCTGTTTACCCAGATGTAATAAAGCTTATTTTCAGACAGCCAGTCCTTCACCTTAACAAGCTCCTCACCTTTAACTTCTCCTGTATTCTATGTGTCTCCTTTTCTGCAACTACTAAAGCAGCTTCATCTGTGTATAAAAACATATTACACTCACACACCCCTATATAAAAAAAAGAGGGCCAAATACATCTCTAATCATCTGTCTGTCATGTCTGCACTTTAATTAATTAATAAAAGACATGACAAAAAGCTAGACAAATTATTGTGCTAGTTTCACTGAAAAATCATCAAGTTTGATGTATAATAATAAAAATAAGCTGGTCTTTTCAGCAGGAAGCTTTACTCGTCCTTCTGTCTGATGTGACGTTTGATCCAGTATTAGTGAAATGAACAGCAGTAAATGAGTAAATGTTCTCAGACTTACATGAGTATCTGAGTGAAGCTTCTTTCTTAAACTCCTCTGAGAAAACACTGTGTTCTGGATCCTGATCCTCAACTGAAACATTTCTCATGAATGATGTCTTATATATTCCTGTGGTCAATGTCTTACTGTTGTATCTTGACTTTAGTTTATCACTGTAACAGCAGGACAAGATCGTAGAATTTCCAGCAACATCATCATTCTGACCTTCAGAGAAAAATTAAAGAGAGAGATTTGAAAACAACAGAGAAATACAGCCTTGCTTTGAATTTGCTTTTCAAATGGTTATCGAAAATTAATTATCAAACAGATTACATTTTTCTACAACACAAAATTACTTGTTTTCTTTTTCATATTTTGACTCGAAAGATCTTCCTCACAGTTCCTCTCTCCTGTTTTCATCCTGACAGACTGATCAAGAGCTGAGAGACTGTATTCTCTCATGGTCTAATGGTAGGAAGTTTGAGATAGGATTATTGTCAGACTAGTGGGCGGGTACAGTGACATCATATTGGTCTTGTTTATTATCACCAATTTCTTCCTCATTCTGATCAAAAGAAAAACTGAAAGAGATAAAGCAAAAACTCCCAGATATGTAAAGAATTGACTTACAAATTAGTCAAATAGCAGATTTGGTTGTGTGTGTTACTTGTTTTACTTCAGTTGAACCATTTGAATTTATTAACATTTGTTTTGCTTTATACATGTCTATTGTCTTTACAAAGTTTTACTTGTTAATTGTCCTTATATAATTAAAAATACTCCAAAAATATAAACATAAATAAATAATAAATAAATAAATAACTAAAGCAAGACATCAAATTCTGTGAGGAATATACTGCAGTTTCCTCTTCTGTGTCCAATAGGCTGATAGTGATAATTCTCCACCATCTAAACCAGGTGAACAACTCTGATACTTTTCATAATAAACATTTAAATAGACTGTGTATTCAGGGTCCACAGTGTAGGTTGGATATGATGAGACATTCAAGCATTATTTTCAGAGAGTCCTTGCGGTGTGTGTTTTTCCTAGTAGAAACCATGTAAGGGAAGTGTTGAGAAAGTTATGAAAAAACATTTAGTTTTATTACAATATCCGATATAAACACCCAAATAAATATCCAAAATCTTCAACAGATGAAAAAGAGATTGTCTGCACAATAAAACACAAAGCTCTGAATATACCTGAGAATACTGAAGATTTAAACATAATCTCTGTAACTTTACAACACAACTTTTTTTTTTTTTTAAACTTAACACATAATTAACCAGTTTCACACATCATTGATGATCAGCTGTACAGTCTGAAGTTCAGATGAGTTTGTGATTTTAGATGTATTTTCCTACATCATTGTATTGAAGATTGATGAGTTTGATGGAGAAATGGAGAATTTCGCACAATTCCACTCAGAAAATCACCAGGGAAAGTTACAGTTCTGTTCTAGTCTAAATCCTTTTCTTTTCTTTTTTTTTGTAATTACAAAAAAAAGCCTTGCTATAAAAGCTTTTTACTTAAAAGAGTAAACACAAATGTGATATCAAAATTTGCTCATAAATGGATGTATTACAGTACACAAATAGAACATTTTCAAGATACACTTAAAACACTTCACACTTTATCCAGACTTTTCAAATGCCCCACATTTAAGATATTATTAAAAATGTTAATCATTTTATCTATCTTGGATTCCGTCATACTCACTTTTTCGTGTAAATATAAATGTGGCGGGCGACACAAGGGCAGTAAGAGGGGGGGGGGGGGGGGGGGGGGGGGGATGGGGGGAATTACTCAATCCTATTAATTTATAATTAATAGGATTGTCTCATTCATACTCCGACTACGCCACTCTGGGAATTTCACCCAAAGAATTAGAGTAAGCCCCAACAAAAGGCACACACAGGTTCGAGTCACCTAATAGAGTCAGAGACATGGGTCGTCGTACAAAATTGAGTTTTATTAACAATTCTTAAAAGAGAACAGTATAAAAAGGATATAAAGCACTTTGTCCAAATTCAATGAACCCCTAAAGGTTTAGGAGCAGGTCTAGACAGGGACGAGAGACACAGAGGCAGAGAGTCGTAGCATGCCACCCGCAGGTGCAGGACCACTGCACTTCACTGTGCACACGCACACACACACACACACACACACACACACACACACACACACACACACAGATGTTAACACCAAGCACTGCACACGGTGAGAAAGATACCGTCACCCAAGTAAGAATCCTCTGCCCCCGGTGCTCAGGCCCTGCTAACACACAAAAAGGGTATACATCAGATACAGAAATAAATAATCAAATAAAAAGAATCACTTCGATAGCTGGGAGGATTATTAGCGCTCAAATCAAGGAAACCAAAATAATATTACAATTAATAAATTGGAATAAACAGTTAGTTGAAACTAAACCCAAATGTCAACGGCAGCAAAATATATAAAGAAATAAATAAAGAAAACAAACCAAACTCCAGTCAAAATTATTAATCAAAAAAACAAATCAAGCAGTTGGGAGCAAAATAAAGCAATCTAAAGAAATTAACTTATTTCAGAGAAATAATTGAAAAATAGATCATTCAACTTCAGGAGAAAAATCAAATACAAATGAGAAAGCAAGTAGAAACAGCAAAATAAATTAGAATGAGAAAAGAGCAAGGATTACAGTTCAGATTCCACCACCAATCCTTGCAGCTAATATCAGTTCAAAAGAAAATGAAAACTACATGAAGCCAAAAAGAAACTAAAGAAAATATCAACTGAAAGTCCCAAATTACAATGGAATCCAGTTGACAGTTAACAGGGTCGAAACAGGATCGAAAACAGACCAAAACAGGATCGAAAACAGACCGAAACAGGATCGAAAACAGACCGAAACAGGATCGAAACAGGACAGCACTGCGGCCGGAATTGAACGCGGAGCACCCCGACTGGAATGAAGTTACAGTCCTTTACGGACCTATAACAGGGCCCTATAAACAACAGGATTGTTACTCTGCTAGATAAATTCTCTACTGCTAGATAAATTCTCTACTGCTAGATAAATTCTCTAACTTAATGCATGCACGTAAAACTAATACATACCGATCGCCGAGGAAAGTGAAACGTAGCTTTCTCTGGAGGGGAACTCGGGTTCTCACCACTGAGAAAGGGTATGGATTAGGACACATCCTTAAAAACAAACTAGCACTTCAAAACACGCATTTCAACAGAGCCGATTAGCGAGAGATTAGCAAACTCTCCCTACCTCCTCCAGCGTCCACATCCAGTACACGCAAACAATAACAATTGTAGCGAGCTTGTGCCGCAGAAGACAGCAGCACGCTCTCCCTGGTATTAAGATGCATTTTGGTCGATCGGATCACAAGTGGAAGACGCTAAATACAGGTCTAAAATGTTTGGAGCTTGTCCACTTTCAACCACTTCCAGAGGTAGTCGTAAACACATTGGACCGGATTGCTGTCACAAAAGTCTGCATACTCTCCGCCTACTGACTTAATGCGTAAACATTATGGGAAGCGCACTAGTCAGGCGGGATTTGCATTTTTTCGGCTGAAGACCCAAGTTTGGTTTAAAGACAAAAAACGAGAAATGTTCTCTCGCCATTCCTGATTTCTAACATACACTCATATTCAACGTGGTCTTGCGGCTGTCAGAGCAGAAATGAAAGCTGCTGCTCTCCCAACGTGTTTCCTTATGCCGCGTTCCAGGCAACCTGTAACCCGTGTTTTTCCAACCTTATACCCGTGAAAGTGCACTGGAACGGCAGTCAAACCCGTGACTTCCCACCCGTGAACTCGTACTAGATCGATGTACTCCCAGTTACGAGTTCTGACGTCACATAGCCCGCGGAGCCATACAAAACAACAATGGCAGCCCCCCCACACACGGTGAGAATGCACTTTAGGCCAATATAACGTTTCAGTCAAATTAATAATTATATTATAATGATAAAAATACACCCACGATTATGTATTACAATTTTAAGTGTCTCTGAAACAATAAGTATATATTGCGCACAGGTAGTTTGGCGTGACTGGATGGAACGCTACAAAGTCGTGAGTCGTGGTTTGAAGTCGTGATTTACCTGCTCAAAAACCTGCCTGGAACGCAGCATTAGTCTCCTTTCGCGTTCACGTGTAAATTGCGCAAATTATTTTGTCCATTATCGCAAGATCTAAAAAAAAAAAACGGTAACACTTTAGAATAATGGTCCGTAGTTAACAAGTAGCTATGCAGGAAGTAATAGGTAGTACTGCATTAACACCGAACTTAATACTATTAACTAATATGGAAGCAATATTAACTAAGCAGTAAGTAATATCTAATTTAGTACAAAGGTAGTTCCTTGGTAGGTATTTGATTATTACTAAAGAAATATATCCTCATTGAGAACTACTTGTGAACTAAGAAAGAATAACCAATTAATTACTAATCACAAAAGTAACATGTCTAAAAAGTGAACAATTGTGGGGGTTTTTTTACTCTTAACATGGTCATAACATTTCAGAAGCTTGTGCCTCAAATGGGTTCTTTGTGGAAACCAGTTTATGAATATTATATCCCCCCAAATACATTAGCTACAGGTTGAGATTGTGACTACTACTCTTACCAAAGGATGGACGTATGTTCTCTGTTTAATTCAAACTTAAACAGAATGATACTAATAATGATAATGTTTAAAATTTTAAATAATTAGGAAGTGATGCTGACATGATTGGATTAGTTCACTATTATGAGCTCTTTTGAGTGTCAGTTCAATATGTCTCAGACTCCAACGACCTACCTTTATGTTACAGTAGCCGCCTGAGGAGGACTTCTCATTAGGATATAAACATTGATGTCCTCTTGTCAAAAACAATTTGCATCCTTAATGAAGAAATTTCCTGCATTTATGTTGCGATAATCGCAAAACCACATCTTCCAGATTACAATGTTTGTTTGAATATTACTAGTGCCTCACAGAAATGTATGCCTGTACAGTATGTGTCAAATATAAAATTAAATAACTTGTATTACTTGTGAAAAACATGCTAACTCCTCACTAATTACTCAAGCGTTACTATGTCATCCCGCAGGATCTACTAGTGATGTGGTCCATTATTTT